AAAATAGAGCATGAACAGCCACTTGGGCCCCAAGGTGGGCCCAGGGACCCCCTATGAGGTTGAGCACACTTCATATAGTGCCTACATCCCCTGAGTTGCAGGGGTTAAGCAAGTAGTGGGAGCCCCCACCTGCATGGATGCTCCCCCTCTGGGACAAAGAGGCTACAGTATTTCCAGTGCCACTGCTGAGATGGAAAAGTTGGCTTCTATCATGACTCTCCCCTCCCTCCATCAGTGGTTGCAGGTGAGCAGGCGGTTGGCACAAGGACAAGGCAACCTCACCCTGATTGAATGGCTCAGGGCAGCCATATGGACAGTGTGGAATGAGGCCAGAGAAATAGCAAAAACTGTGAGTAAATGGCAATCATATGCAGAGCTGGTGTAGGAACTTCAGGAGGTGGGTATGCGGCAGGCTATGTTTGATTTGAATACCCAAGGGCCAGATGACAAACGCTTTACCCCTACAGGGGGGACCTTGTGTTGGGCTCTGCACCCCCGTGCACCCCCGAGTGCTTTCAGCTCTCTGGCCGTTGTCCTTACTCCATACTGCATATATAAGGTGACTATTGCCATGGCAGCCCTTGGGGAAGCAGAGAGCCAGTAGTAGGAGTGGGGAGTCCACACCATAAAGGGGAAGGTATCCCTCCCACAGGGAATCACCCCACAGGACAAAAAGGGTCCCCAGCTGGTGATCCTCATGCAGACATGGATTGATCTGATTTTTTTTTTTAAAGACAGAGTCTTGCTCTGTCGCCCAGGCTTGAGTGCAGTGGCGTGATCGATCTTGGCTCACTGTAACCTCCGCCTTCTGGGTTCAAGTGATTCTCCTGCCTCAGCCTCCTGAGTAGCTGGGACTATCCAGATGCATGCCACCTCGCCCGGCTAATTTTTTGTATTTTTAGTAGAAATGGGGTTTCACCATGTTAGCCGACTAGTCTTGATCTCCTGACCTCATTATCCACCCACCTCGGCCTCCCGAAGTGCTGGGATTACAGGCATGAGCCATTGGGCCTGGCCCTGATCTGATATTGGCTGCAGTTGCCTGAGAGAAAACTGAAAAGCACAGCAATGAAGTGCTGTTAACTTTGTGGAGTCAATTGTCCCTGGAGCAGCAATTCCAGAAAATGCCCAAGAGTGGGCAGGATGATGCTGCTTGGCCCAGTCCCACTGGACACTCCAGCTCAAGATTACTTGCAGATGGGCTGAGGAATAAAGCCTTTTGTGTTTGATAGGTAACTGGCCAAGGTGCCCGGCTTGGCAGGACACCAGATGACTGGAGGCCACATGTGGAATTGGCAATCCACTGGTCCCCCACCCATGTATGGCAGGTGTTGGTGTTGGTAGATACTGGCGCAGATGGAGTCTCATCTATGGGAACCAGGATAAGTTTTTAGACAAGGCTGCATACATAGACGGCTGTGGAGGCCAGTCAGTGAAAGTAAAACCTGTATCTTTGTACCTGAGCATCGGCGCTTGGCTCCCCTTTTATACACTGTATATGTCTCTCCCACACTGGAATACATTCTGGGGGTGGACATTTTGCACGGTCTTAGCTTACACACCATGGCCGGAGAATTCAGATTTCAAATACATGTAGTGAAGCCGATACTATGGGGAGATATGCATCACGGGCCCCAAGTTCTGCCACAGCCCCGAGGGATCACCTCCACTTGTCAATACCACTTGCCAGGAGGGCATATGGAGATAACTGAGGCTATTAAGAAGCTAGAGGAGGTGCAGATAGTGCATGGCACCCACAGCCCCTACAATTCTCTGGTATGGCCAGTCAAAAGGCCTGTTGGGACTTGGTGGATGACAGTGGGCTATCATAACACCCCCTTTATATGCAGCTGTCTCATATATCACAGATTTGATGGACTGCTTGATGATGGAATTGGGATAGTACCATTATGCAGTAAACTTGGCTAATGCCCCCTTCCCTTCTTTTCTTCTTCCCTTCCCTTCTTCCCTTCCCTCCCCTCCCCTTCCCTTCTCTTCCCTCCTCTCCCTTCATGTCCCCTCCCCCCTACTCCTTCCCATTCCCTCCCCCACCCCCTTCCCCTCCTCTCCTCTCCTTCTCCTCCCCTCTTTTCTCCTCCCCTCCCCCCACCCCTTCCCTCCTCTCCCTTCCCCTCCCCTCCCCCTACCTTTTCCCCTTCCCTCCCCCACCCCCTTCCCTTCCCTACTGCTCTCCCCTACCCTCCTCCTCCCCTTGCCTCCCCTCCCATCCCCTCCCCTTCGCTTCTCTTCCTTTTTTTCTTCCATTTTCTTTTCTTCCCTTCCCTTTTTCTTTTGTTTTGGAGAAAACTCTCTTGTTGCCCAGGCTGGAGTGCAATGGTTTGATCTTGGCTCACTGCAACCTCCACCTCCCAGGAATCACAGGCATGCGCTATCATGCCTGGCTAATTTTTTTGGTATTTTTAGTAGAGATGGGGTTTCTCCATGTTGGTTAGGCTGATCTCAAGCTCCTGACCTCAGGTAATCCACCCACCTCAGCCTCCCAAAGTGTTGGGATTATAGGCATAAGCCACTGAACCCGGTCAATGCATTCCTTTCAATTGACATTGCACCAGAGAGCCCCAAACAGTTTGCCTTCATGTGGGAAGGGAGACAATGGACTTTCACAATGTTGCCACAGGGCTGTGTGCATAGTCCCACCATATGTCATGGTCCCACCATATGTCAGGGTCTGGTTGCCATGGGCTTAGCCTCCTGGGAATGTCCAAAGGGGATCCGCCTGTTCTATTACATTGATGATATTATGTTAACCTCTGATTCTCTTACAGATTTAGAAGGGGTGGTGCCCCTCTTGCAACGTTTGGCAGCATGGGGTTGGGTTGTCAATGAATACAAGGTCTAAGGATTGGCTGCCAAATTCTTGAGAGTTATCTGGTCAGGTAAGACAAGAGCCATACCAGAGGGCATCGTAGACAAAATTCAGGCACATCCCAGCCCACCACGGGGAGGCAGCTGTGACCTTTGTGGGTCTCCTGGGGTATTGGCAGGCGTTCATGCCTGATTTGGCTCAAATGACAAAACCATTGTACTGGTTGACAAAAAAAGGGGCTACCTGGGATTGGGATGATGAGGCTAAGACAGTCTTTCTGGCAGCCACGTGGGTGATTCAATAAGCACAGGCCCTACACGTGATTGACCAGGGCCGCCCATTTAAACTTGATGTATGTGTGACCACAGGTGGTTTTGGCTGGCACCTATGGCAGTGCACAGAGCACTTTAGAACACCAGTAGGCTTTTGGTCTCAGCTTTGAAAGGGAGCTGAGCTCCAGTATTCGTTGATAGAGAAGCAATTAGCTGCTACATATACTGCCCTTCAGGCTTGTAAGAGTGTGACAATACGGGTTACATTCATTGTGCAGACAGCTTATCCATATTGGGGTGGATACATTCACGTGTAACAATCCCCCGGACTGGGATGGCACAGACATCCACTTTGGCAAAGCGGGGTGTCTACTTAGAACAGCGGAGTAGTCTGAGTACAAGCCCCCTAGCAGCAGAATTACAGGAAGTTCTCGGACCCGTACGTAGTCCTAATGCAAGATAAGGCCATGGATCGGCCTGAGGCACCCCTAGACCCCAAGCTATCACCGCTTGAGCAAGGGCATCCCCCCATTTCTGATGGGGCATGGTGTATGGATGGGTCTTGCCGGGGTGCCACTGCTGCATGGACGGCTGTTGCAGTCCAGCCTAGTACTGATACCCTATGGTTTGACATGAGGTATGGACAAAGTAGTCAATGGGCTAAACTCAGGGCAGTGTGGATGGTGATCACCAAGGAGGAGGCACCTGTGGCAATCTGGACTGATAGCTGGGCACTTCATTGAGGCCTAATTGTGGTTAACTACCTGGAAGTCACAGAATTGGTTAGTTGGCCACTGACCCATTTGAGGGCCAAGCCATGTGGCCAGACCTCTAAAAACTGGGCCACCAGAAGAATGTAACTCTTTAATACAAGTACATGATGAGGAAAGACGTTCCTTCTTTGCCACATTTACTGTGAGAATGAAGACCATTCTCAGCAATCAGACTGTCGACATTCCAGAAAATGTCGATATTACTCTGAAGGGACGCACAGTTATCGTGAAGGGCCCAAGAGGAACCCTGCAGAGGGACTTCAATCACATCAATGTAGAACTGTCTTCTTGGAAAGAAAGAGGCTCCGGGTTGACAAATGGTGGGGTAACCGAAAGGAACTGGCTACCGTTTGGACTATGTGCAGTCATGTACAAAACAAGACTGAGGCCTCATCCGTTACAAGATGAGGTCTGTGTATGCTCACTTCCCCATCAACGTCGTTATCCAGGAGCATGGGTCTCTCGTTGAAATCCGAAATTTCTTGGGTGAAAAATACATTTGCAGGGTTTGAATGAGACCAGGTGTTGCTTGTTCAGTATCTCAAGCCCAGAAAGATGAATTAATCCTTGAAGGAAATGACATTGAGCTTGTTTCAAATTCAGTGGCTTTGGCCGGGCGCAGTGGCTCATGCCTGTAATCCCAGCACTTTGGGAGGCAGAGGAGGGTGGATCACAAGGTCAAGAGATTGAGACCATCCTGGTCAACATGGTGAAGCCCGTCTCTACTAAAAATACAAAAAATTAGCTGGGCATGGTGGCACGTGCCTGTAATCCCAGCTACTTGGGAGGCTGGGGCAGGAGAATTGCCTGAACCCAGGAGGCGGAGGTTGCGGTGAGCCGAGATCACGCCATTGCACTCCAGCCTGGGTAACAAGAGCGAAACTCCGTCTCAAACAAAACAAAACAAAACAAAATAAATTCAGAGGCTTTGATTCAGCAAGCTACAACAGTTAAAAACAAGGGTATCTGGAAATTTTTGGATGGTGTCTGTGTCTCTGAAAAAGGAACTGTTCAGCAGGCTGAGGAGTAGGACCTTAGAGTTGTCCAGCTACAGAAACAAGATGCCTATCATAGCTAAGACCTACCTGTGATATTTAACTGATGCAATAAAAGACCTATTAATTTGGAAAAAAAAAAAAAAGAATGTAAGTCTTTATCATGTGTCAGGTCATGTGCCTTTGGCTGTCCCTGGCAGTAACGAGGCAAATGCTTTGGCCAGGGTCCAATGGTTGAAGTCAGCACCTACACCAGATTTGGCTTAATGGCTACGCTGGAAATTGGACCATGCAGCTGGAAATTGGGCCATATGGGGGGTAAACTAATGCAGCAGGTCAATAAGCACTTGGGTCTGTCCTTGTCCATGGGGGATATTTGAGAGGCCTACTGTAAGTGCCCAGTGTACACACACAGGCATACCCAGACAGAGGCAGCTGCTTAGTGTCATGCAATGAGTGATGATGATAGGGCAGATGCCCTTGACCAGATGGCAGAGAGATTACATTGGGCTGCTAGGTCGGGTTCGGTGGCTCATGCCTGTAATCCCAGCAATTTGGGAGGCTGGGGCAGGTGGATCACTTGAGCTCAAGAGTTTGGGTCCAGCCTGGGCAACATGGTGAAACCCTGTCTCTACTAAAAATACAAAAAGTTGGCCAGGTGTGGTAGTGCATGTCTGTAATTCCAGCTACTTGGAAGGCTGAGGCATGAGAATAGCTTGAACCCAGGAGGCATAGGTTGCAGTAGGCCAAGATAATGCTACTGCACTCCAGCCTGGGTGACAGAGTGAGGCTGTCTCAAAAAGTTAAAATGAAAAATTAGATTACACTGGGCCACTGCAGAAATTGCAGGGAAATACGCATGCACTGGTGGCTGTAGATACAGCACTGGTCTGTTGTTGTCTACCCTTGTAGGGGGGTCAACCAACAACATACCATTTGGGCCCTGCAACACTTGTGTCCTCTCTTCGGTCACCCCTTGGCCATTGAAAGTGATAGGGGAACACATTTCACTGAGAAGCAAATACAACTGTGGGCATGGCAGATGGACATAAAATGGGGGTTTCATGTTCTGTATAACCCACAGGCTGCTGGCATGATTAAACGATATAGTGGACTGTTGAAAAGAGGATTATGCTTGCATGTTACTTCCCTCTGTTTTCAGAGCTGGAGTTCATGGCCGGACCTAGTTCTTTAGACCTTAAATGAGTGGCCACGAAAAGGTGGCACAGCCCTGGTGGAGGCCCTGCTGCACTGGGCTGCTGCCCCCATTCAGTTACAGATACACATCAAGGAATACCTCCTCCGACAGGTATTGGAATGAATGGTAATCTGTTGTTGCTTGTCCCAATTCCCCTAAAGGCAGGGGAACAAAAATCCTGGCTTTGACCTCGGACCTTCCAACGCCCCCCCGCCCCTATTGCAGGTGGTTGGCCATCATAGCCCCCCGGGGGGAAGGCCTAGACTGTGATTTACATGTCACTTCTTTAATGTATGGCCTCGATGACTGACTGCTTGTAGGGGAACAGCCAAGGAGGGAACCCTCCTCTGGGGGAACATATATACAGTCTGTGTGGCCTATTATGAGCTTCCCAGTAACTTTGGCATGGCTACAGGACCCAAAGGAACCATGAGGAGCTAAAAAGGTGTGGTACCATCATCCAGGGCAGAAGCTGCTGACAGCTGCACTGCTATCCAGAGATGAATGGTTGGACTGTATTTTACCTGAGGGGCATGATTTACCCATTAGTACCTGTGCCTCCTTTGCCGTTTCAACCGGAGGTTGACATGCTCCAACAGCATTGTGGAATGGGCCCGCACCTATGCTGATGTGACTCATATTTCCAATTGTTAGATTGGCATCGCCCTTCCAGCAACAGCTACGGATGGCTTGCCCTGGCATATACACCCAGCTTCTATGGAGAACTGGACCTGGCTAGAGACTTGGGGTCCTATGGGCCACACCTGGAATACAACATGGCAATCTTTGAATAGGGGCATGCCTGCCCCCTGGCTAATCTATAGTGTCTATGATGAATGAGGCTGGTTAGTGGGAGAACACAGGGTGCCTCCACCAGAGGCACCACAATGTGTAGAGCAACATTGGGGTGGCATCACCATGGAGTGGTTGCCCGCCATAGTCTGCACAAATATCACACGTCACCACACCTTTGGTGACATGTGTGATATTTGTGCAGACTATGGCGGGCAACCAAGTCTTTTTGGTAGAAAAACTTGTTGAACTAGGCAGTATCAGCAAGACCAGGCCCTGATGGACTTTGTGCCCCCTGGGAGTTTACGGGCCTGTGAAGACATGGGATGGCAGAATTTGCCAGTGAGCTCGACTGACTGCTGTACCTGGGGGTGGCCTTCTATGCCTGCCACTGCGCTTCCCACATTGCCTAGATGCCCACACAACTGGGAGGTGCTGTGTTCCTGGTTTTTACCAGTACGCCAGGCCCCTTGGTGGCTCTACCCCTTAGTTATGACTATCCCTGGAGCAGGTGTCATCACTGTAGAAACAGGCTACAGCGCTTACAGAGCACACAGCTTGGGCCCTAAATTACACCCGAGTCTCCTTCCTCCTGTTAACCAACAAGGTTAAACTAAAAAGGTGGTGCTGCAAAACTGAATGGCCTTAGATATAGTAATGGCTGCCCAAGGTGGCACCTGTGCCCTCATAGGGACACAATGTTATACCTTTATTCTGGGCAATTGCTAAAACATAACAGCAGCCTTGCAAAGGATCTCACAGGAGATTAAGGCAGTTGAGAGCCTTTCTGACAATCCCCTGTGGAGATGGTGGTGTCTGTGGGCTCTGGCTTATGTTGGGCCCTGATAATAATCCTGGGCAGCACGGCAGGAATATTAGTGGTAGGTTGCTGAGTGTATGATGGACTACATTGTTTGCGGAGAGCGATGGCAAGGAAAACCGAGATGGCCCCCCAAGCAGAAAACTGCTCAGGGTGTTCTAAAGTAGTTAACAGTATGTGTATATAGTAACTAGTTTAACACAAGTTAAACTAGTTCTTTAAGCAGGGGATATGTGACCCTGCCCCCATGGCTCCCTCATGGAAAATGCTTTGTAGTTTGTCTTTGATCAGTGATAAGCAGGCACCAGCTACCTGCCTTTATTTTTGTTCTATGAGAAAACACAGAACACCTGTTTGTTAATAATAATCACCTGTTCAGAGAATAAATGTGGGTCAGAGTCTGCTTGAGGCTCTCAGCTTGGAAGGCTGTTAGCCCCCTGATATCCCACTTTGCACTCTATTTCTGTGTCTGTTTCATAACTCCTTCAGCGCCGCCTGGGTGGGGGGTCTCTATGACTGAGCTGCTCTCGGAAGTAGGCTACTGCTCCCTGTATTGTGGCTGTGGCTTACGGCCCAGTGTGCTGCCCTGTGGGCATGTGCCCCCTCTAAGAGGACCCTTTTGGCCTAGGAGGTGTAGTGTAAAGAAAATGGCTGCGTGGCAGTCAAGAGCAGGCCAAGGTAGACATCCAGCGCAGCATGACATTGGCTCACTGCACCCTCTGCCTCCTGGGTTCTAGTGATTCTCCTGTCTCAGCCTCCCAAGTAGATGGGATTACGGGCACCCACCACCACATCTGGCTAATTTTTGTATTTTTAGGAGAGATGGAGTTTGCCATATTGGCCAGGCTGATCTCAAATTCCTGACCCGACCTCAGGTGATCTGCTGGCCTTAGCCTCCCAAAGTGCTGGGATTACCGGTGCGAGCCACCATGCCCAGCCCAATTATATCATTTTTCTTCTCACATCCTCTATGGCACTGCAAGATGTCTTACTATCCAATTCTTTGCCCAGTTCAGCCTGTCAGATAATCAGGTCGAGCCCTTTGGCCATCAATCTATACGGATGCCCAATTGAGTCACAGCAGTTGTCCCTGAACTTCCCTTTATATCACTCATGTTGGATTCCATTTCTAGACACACTGAACTTTTTCTTTTCCTGGAGACAGGATCTCTGTCACCCAGGCTGGGGTGCAGCAGCATGATAGCTCACTGCAACCTCAAACTCCTGGGTGATTGTCCCACCTTCTGAGTGTCTGGAACTACGTGTGCTAGCCACCTTGCCCAGCTATCTCTTATTTCTGTAGCGATAGGTCCTCATTATGTTACCCAGGGTGGTCTTGAACTCTTAGCCTCAAGCTATCCTCCTGCCTTGGCCTCCTAAAGTGCAGGAGTTACAGGCCTGAGCCACTGCACCTGGCTGCTGTTGAGAATCTAAGGCTAATACTACTTAAAAAAAAAAAAAAATCCATGAAGGAAGATGAAGGCTAATATTACTTTCAATCCTTTTCCATTTGGAAACTTTTAGAATACTGTCTGGTGTCCTAAAATTGCATGGTGGTATAACTTCATATGGATCTTTTTACTATTGTGCTAACTCAATAATAGCCATTTTTCTTTCTTTCTTTTTTTTGAGATGAAGTTTCGCTCTTGTTACCCAGGCTGGAGTGCAATGGCGCAATCTCAGCTCACCGCAACCTCTGCCTCCTGGGTTCAGGCAATTCTCCTGCCTCAGCCTCCTTAGTAGCTGGGATTACAGGCACGCGCCACCATGCCCAGCTAATTTTTTGCATTTTTCGTAGAGGCGGGGTTTCACCATGTTGACCAGGATGGTTTCGATCTGTTGACCTCGAGATCCGGCCCTAATAATAGCCATTTTTCAACTTGAAGCTCATCATTTCATCAGGGAAAGTTTCTTATATTTTAAAATAAATCATAGGCCAAGAACAGTGACTCACGCCTGTAATCCTGGAACTTTGGGAGGCCGAGGCAGGCAAATCACCTGAGGTCAGGAGTTTGAGACCAGCTTGGCCAACATGGTGAAAACTGGTCTCTATGAAAAATACAAAAATTAGCTAGGTGTGGTGGCAGGCACCTGTAGTCCCAACTGCTCAGGAGGCTGAGGCAGGAGAATTGCTTGAACCCAGGAGGAGGAGGCGGCAGTGAGCCAAGACTGTACCATTGCACTCTGGCCTGGGCAACACAGCAAGAGTAAGACTCTGTCTCAAAAAAATAAAATAAATTCTAGCTGGGCATAGTGGCTCACACCTGTAATCCCAGCACTTTTGGAGGCCGAGGAGGGTGGATCACAAGGTCAGGAGGCCAAGACCATCCTGGCCAACACGGTGAAACCTCATCTCTACTAAAAATACAAAAAAAAAAAAAAAAAAAAAAAATTAGCTGGGCACGGTGGTGCATGCCTATAGTCCCAGCTACTCAGGAGGCTGAGGCAGGAGAATTGCTTGAACCCAGGAGGTGGAGATTGCAGTGAGCCAATATTGCACCACTGCACTACAGCCTGGACAACAGTGCGAGACTCCATCTAAAAAATAAACAAATAAAAATAAAATAAAATAAATTCTACCCACTCTATTTTCTCAGTTCTTTTCCTGAGATTCCTGTTGGTTGCTTATTAAACCTCCTGTATTTTTTAAGCCAACTTTATTTTCTCCCTTCACTTTTGGTTTATGCTCTAAAACAGTTCCTTGTCTTTTAGTATTTTCACTGAATTAATTCATATTTAAAAAATTTTTTTCTGATATTTTATTACTATCCTGCTCTATTTTTTTTTTTTTTTTTTTTTTTGAGACAGGGTCTTGCTCTATCACCCAGGCTGGAGCACAGTAGCTCTACCTTGGCTCACTGAAACCTCGGTCTCCTGGGTTCAAGTGATTCTCATGCCTCAGCCTCCCAAGTAGCTGGGATTACGGGCATACGCCACCACACCTGGCTAATTTTTGCTTTTTTCTTTTGGAGACAGTCCCGCTCAGTTGCCCAGGCTAGAGTGCAGTGGCATAATCTTGGCTCACTGCAACCTCCACCTCCTGGGTTCAAGCTATATTCTGTGCTTCAGCCTTCCGAGTAGCTGGGACTACAGGTGCCTGCCACTGTGCCCAGCTAATTTTTTGTATTTTTAGTAGAGATGGGGTTTCACCATATTGGCCAAGCTGGTCTGGAACTCCTGACCTTGTGATCCACCATCTTGGCTCCCAAAGTGCTGGGATTAAAGGTGTGAGTCACCGTGCTTGGCTAATTTTTGCATTTTTAGTAGAGATAGGATTTCCCTATGTTGGCCAGGCTGATCTGGGGAGGACTCCTCACCTCAGGTGGGTGATCCACCCGATTTGGCCTCCCGAAGTGCTGAGATTATACAAGTGATCCACCATGCCCTGCCCTATTTTATTTAATTACTTATTTTTTTGAGAGAGTCTCATTCTGTTGCTCAGGCTAGAGTGCACTGGGATGATCTCTGCTCTCAGCATCCTCAGTCTCCCGAGTTTAAGTCATTTTTGTGCCTCAGCCTCTGAGTAGGATTACAGGAACGTGCCACCATGCCCAGATTTTTGTATTTTTAGTACATGGCGATGGGGTTTCGCCATGTTAACCAGGCTGGTTTTGAACTCCTGACCTCAGGTGATCCACCTGCTTCAGCCTCCCAAAATGCTGGAATTAAAGGTGTAATTTTATTTTTTGTAGACATTAAGTCTTGCTATGTTGCCCAGGCTGGTCTCAAACTCCTGGGCTCAAACAATCCTCCCACCTTGGCCTCCCAAATTGTTGGGGATTATAGGCCTGAGTCGCTGTATTTGGCCTTCTAATTTCTTTTTGTTGGTTTGTTTTTTGAGACAGTCTCATTCTGTTGTCCAGGTTGGAGTGCAGTGGCCCTATCTCAGCTCACTGCAACTACCGCTTCCTGGGTTCAAGCGATTCTTCTGCCTCAGCCTCTCAAGTAGCTGGGATTACAGGCTTGCACCACCATGCCCAGCTAATTTTGTATTTTTGAGACAGAATTTTGCTCTTGCTGCCCAAGCTGGAGTGCAGTGATGTGATCTTGGTTCACTGTAACCTCTGCCTCCTGGGTTCAGGTGATCATCCTGCGTTAGCCTCCTGAGCAGCTGGGATTACTGGCATGTACCACCCTGCCTGGCTAATTTTGTATTTTTAGTAGAGATGGGGTTTTGCCGTGTTGGCCAGGCTGGTTTCAAACTCTAATCTCAGGTATCTGCCCGCTTTGGCCTCCCAAAGTGCTGGGATTACAGGCGTGAGCCACTGTGGCCAGCCATCAAAATTTCTCGAATACAGCATCTTCTCTTATCTGGGGATAAACCACTGCACCTGGCCGTAATTTCTTTCTTTTTTTTTTTTTGAGACAAAGTCTTGCTCTGTCGCCCAGGCTGGAGTGCAGTGGCACAATCTCAACTCACTGCAACCTCCGCCTCCTGGTTTCAAGTGATTCTCCTGCCTCAGCCTCCTGACTAGCTGGGATTACAGGCACACACCACTATGCCCAGCTAATTTTCTTGTTTTTAGTAGAGATGGGATTTCACCATGTTGGCCAGGCTGGCCTCGAACACCTGACCTTGTGATCTGCTCACCTCGGCCTCCCAAAGTGCTGGAATTACAGGCATGAGCTACTGCACCTGGCCCATAACTTCTTTTGAGATGGAGTCTTGCTCTGACACCAGGCTGCAGTGCAGTGGCGCGATCTCAGCTCACTACAACCTCTGCCTCCCATGTTCAAGCCATTCTCCTGCCTCAGCCTCCCGAGTAGCTGGGACTAGAGGCGTGCGCCACGACGCCCAGCTAATTTTTGTATTTTTAGTAGAGATGGGCTTTCACCATGTTGGCCAGGATGGTCCCAACCTTTGATTTTGTGATTCACCTGCTTCGGCCTCCCAAAGTGCTGGAATTACAGGCGTGAGCCACTGTGGCCAGCCATCAAAATTTCTCGAATACAGCATCTTCTCTTATCTGGGGATATTCCAGTTCCTGGAAATTTTCTCACTGAGTTAACTTTTTGTTTAGAGCTACCTTTCACAATCAAAGGTTTCCTCAAATTTCTAGTGGTATTTTCCCATCCCATATAAAAGTGAAGCACTAAACACCTGTCTGCAAGATTTGTGTACTTAAGCAGGCCTTATTGACTGGCTGTAGAGGGACTGGTGGCCAGTTGGCTTTTTTGGTGGGTGCTCGCCAATGTAACTGCCGTCTCTCAGGAGTCACTTAGTTTTTCCACAGAAGGATCCTCCAACATCCTGCCCGGTGGGCTTAAGTCTGGCTGTTGACATTCTAGAGCTGAACAAGAATAAATAGCTAAGGATCTCATTTATCTAGTATACAAAGTTGTACTTAATCTATATTTTCTGAACAGTATCACCTAGTAAAGAAGTTTTCTTTCTCCTTTTTAAAGTTGCATTTACTACCTGAGTAACTTTACCCTTCAGCTTTAGGAGCCACAGTGTAATTAATTACTGGTCAGTCTTGGCAAAATCTCCTCTCTGAAGCTAGTGCTGCAAATAGCCATTTGAGTGAGCAGAAATTTCTAACTGCAAGACACTCAAGAAATGCTACCACTGGCTGGGCCTAGTGGCTCTCTCCTGCAGTCTCAGCACTTTGGGAGGCTGAGGCAGGTGGATCACCTGAGGTCGGGAGACCAGCCTAGCCAACATGGTGAAACCCTATCTTTACTATAAACACAAAAATTCAGCTGGGCGAGGGGCTCACATCTGTAATCCCAGCACTTTGGGAGGCTGAGGCAGGTGGATCACTTGAGGCCAGGAGTAGAGACCAGACCAGCGTGGGCAACATGGCAAAACCCCATCTTCTACTAAAAAAACACAAGTTAGCTGAGTGTAGTGGTGCATACCTATAGTCCCAACTATTAGGGAAGCTGAGGAAGGAGAATCACTTGAACCCAGGAGGTGGAGGCAGCAGTGAGCTGAGACTGTTCCATTGCACTTCAGCCTAGGTGACAGAGAGAGAGAGACTCCGTCTCATTGGGAAAAAAAAAAAAGAACTGCCAGCATTGACCACTGACACCTGTAGGTTAATATGAGTATGAATTAAGGTCTCCAAATGAAGGGAGAAAACCCTATTTAATTGAGATACACTCATACATTTTATTAAGGCTCTGAAATTAAAATTCATCGATTTGGATGTACATTCTTCAAATTCTAAACACAACAGTCAAAATGCAGTGACTATAATAAAATGTAATAACCTCCTATAAAGAAATGATTGGGGACTATCATTTTTGTGATTTAATAACACACAGTGAAAATCCAGGAAGAATGAATTGAATTCCTTCTGGGTTTATTCCTGCTCATGCTTAAGACTGATGATTTCGTGAAATAAAGAACATTTAAAAAAGAAAAAATAATATGTATTTTTTTAAGTGGACCCAGCCTGGGAGCAGGGGGTGGGGGGCAGCTTTTTTCTTCCTTTTTTTTTTTGAGATGGAGTTTCGCTCTTGTTACTAGACTGGAATGCAATGGCACGATCTCGGCTCACCGCAACCTCCACCTCCTGAGTTCAAGTGATTCTCCTGCCTCAGCCTCCTGAGTAGCTGGGATTACAGGCACGCGCCACCATGCCCAGCTAATTTTTTATATTTTTAGTAGAGACGGGGTTTCACCTTGTTGACCAGGATGGTCTCGATCTCTTGACCTCGTGATCCACCCGCCTCGGCCTCCCAAAGTGCTGGGATTACAGGCGTGAGCCACCGTGCCTGGCCTTATTTTTAAAAAAAAAGAAATCATCACTCTCAGACTGGGTGCAGTGGCTCACTCCTGTAATCCCAGCACTTTGGGAGATGGAGGCGGGCGGATCACCTGAGATTGGGGGTTTGAGACCAGCCAAGTGAAACCCTGTCTCTACTAAAATTACAAAAATTAGCCAGGTGTGATGTGTGCCTGTAGTCTCAGCTACTCGGGAGGCTGAGGCAGGAGAATCGCTTGAGCCCAAGAGGCAGAGGTCGCAGTGAGCCAAGATAGTGCTTAGTGCCACTGTACTCCAGCCTGGGCAACAGACACTCTGTCTCAAAAAAAAAAAAAAGAAAAAAAAAAATCATTACTCTCATTTGAAAGATTTGTTTTCTTATTCCTATAAGTACATTTTGTTTTTCTAATTCAACTGTAGCCTCAGGAGCACTGCAGAGTACTTAGTAAACCTGTCTTTGTACATGCAATCTAGTTCTTAACTGCCTTTTCAAACGGAATAGAAGTGTAACACATACATAAAAGGAAGATGAGGAAGCACAGGGACAAACACGAAGAAAATAAAGACTAGAATGTGATTCACATTTTCAACAAGTATCAGCAAGGAAAATGAGACCCTGGTTTCATAATTAATTAAATCTGCAGAATGCCAATTCCATTTGGTGTTAAACAGTAACCCATGTAAACCACTGATTCCCAATTAAGATTCTGAAAAATTAAAATACCTGAGTGAATATAACAACACGGCTAGACCAAAAAGAAAAAAAATCTCACACAATAATCACTGCAAGAAGATCCCACAGGTTATAGAAAACATAAAGGAACTTTAATATCCAAACAGTCAAGGTAAAGAATACTGGATTAATACCCATTAAGTGTGAATCACTGCAGGTTCTTTACAGTACCAGAAAGTAAAATCTGAATTTGCATATTGCAGAGAATGAAACCATTTTAAAACTTTAATTTCCTTACCTGATACTAATACTGGTATGCTTTTTAGACTGAAAACTAAGAGTAAGATTTAAACTAAAGACAGGTGTTCCTAAAATGTGAATCTGTTCGGTAGTAACCTTTCATGAGTACTGATACCACTTTATCCTCAAAAAGTAGTCAATGTACATTTTTAAGATTTGTGCAATAACCAAATATACTGCCAAATAAAAACTATTAGTGGAGACAGTCCAAATGAAAGAAAACTATACTTTTGTTTAAATTATTTATGCCCAAATAATTTACCCTGCAGTCCATGAGATGTACAGGAAATAATTTTTTTTTTTTAATAAGAGAAAAATGAGGGTCCTAAAATAGAAACATATGCCAGAAGAAATCTAAAAATAGCTTCCTGATATTTCATTTTTTAATATTTTGTTTAAGCTGCTTTTGGTTACATGCCCTGATCTGTAGATATTAACAAGGAAATAAAATTTCCCAGTATTTAAAAAATTTACTCATCTTCCATAAAGCGACTTTTAATGTATCAACACTTAAAAATACACAGTGACTTAATGAAATAGCACAACTGCATAGAATTGAGCTCCAGAGAATTAAACACTCGAACTGTCTTTCCTGGGTTCTGGTTTACTACGGTATTGGCCTAGAGACCAGCTTAGAGTCATTTGCCCCTACCTGGGAAATGCAGGCCAGGAAACTTAAGATTTTGCAGGCCTTTTCTGTTTCTAGGTAAAATGCTGGAAGCTCTTTGAAGGTCGTGAAAACCATCAACTATTCAAATGTGTATACTAAGACCTTTCTGTTCTGAGTCAAAGAAGGAGGAGGTTTGAGACCTTCAGTGAAAACAAAATGAAACTTCCCACACAAGTCTTCTAAGAGACTCTGAAATATGCTAGAAATTTCAAAACTAGAACAATGCCATCAAAGATTAAACCTCTTAATGCTTGGAGCACCCCAAAATAATAAAATTGGAAACTCAAGGAAAACAGGTACCAAAAGAATCAAAATAATGATTGCACTGAGGATTCTCTTCTTTGAAGGCTGTTTAAGGAGGTAGGATTTTAAGGTTTTTTTTGTTTATCTTTTGGCCTCTGAACATTTAAAAAACACTTTGCCCAGCTGGTCCTTCAGACAAAATTTGGAGGTCACAATGAACCCCAAGCCTGACACAAAGACAATTTCACAGCTATCATTTGTACATATTAAGTTGATTCACTCTTTTTGAGTAAATTTACCTAGATAATGGCAAATTAATATGTTCCTTTACATACTACTTTGTATCTCAAAATTCTTGAAAAACAAGAGCAGATGACTTTGTATTCAAAGACTACCAAAGTGTGTATTTGATTTTCACATGCAAACAACTTAAAACCTTATAAATCTCATGTCAACTCTGCATAATGCCTTGAAGGAAATGACATACAAAGTTTGCTACCTGTGCAAAATATTAAATTGCGAAAACATTTTACATAATGAAATAATACATGTAAATGTTGAAGTTGACACATGAAATTAACATGGCATAAGAACTTATCACATTTCAGATATTTTCTTTCGTAACAAGTTTTTGTTTTTATAGTTCCTGGTACACAGCAAAGTTTATCACAGAAGATAAAAATCCTTTTAAACAAATCTAACAGAGAATTCTTGAGGCACCTTCTTATATAAAACACAAGATGAATGCAATTATCAATCCATCTGAGAAAAGTTTTCAATCTAAATGAACATCATTTTCTCATTTAAGTATACTTTACAGAACTTTAATAAGGCAAGACAAATTTGTGAAAAAGATGTAGATACAAAAATGATGTAAACTAATAATTTATATTAAAAAACCCCAAAAGTATAACAGCGGAGATGGGACAGCTCAAACAATGCCTTTTTTTTTTTTTTTTTAACCTAAAACAGAATTGTGCATAAGCTGAAGATTAGAAAGAACTTCTAGACTCTGCACAGTTTTGGTTTTTTTTTTTTTTTTTTTTTAGCGTCTTTATATTACATGTTTTAAATCATATCAGGAATGCAAACTAGAACTGCACACTACTTTAGTGGAAAAAAGTTCAATATTGTGCAATTTTCTGCCTCTTAATATTTAAAAAGTGGCAGCAATCCCTGCATTTGTGTTTGAAACAAGGATCTGAGAAACTTTATCAAAAAAGGTAATGAAGGCAAAAATTGGCAGACATCCAGCATCTTGTTTCTTTTTAAAACAATGTGGATGATAAGTAATTTCATGATTAAAAATGAATCTTTTAAATAAATACATTGTATCTGACATTTGCACTGACTGATTTGATAAATCTTTAAGTAAACAACGGCTTTACTACACTCCCTGTAGCCTCAAGCCACTGGCTTTAGATTCTGGAGTCCTTTTTCACTGGGTTTCATACCCTGCCACTCTATACCCGGAAGGCTGATTAGGCAACATGCTCCCATTTTGCCCTTGAGGTGGCTGCACTCCGTAATTTGGTCCCATCCATGGTGCAGAAGACTGTGTTTGACTGGTGGAGAATGTGAAAGAAGCAGAGCGGGGAGGAAATCCACTGATTAAAAGAAAGTATTGGCAAGAACAAATACTGGAAATGGGAAACATACTTTTTAAAAAATCCAAATAGAATAACTATGCCAGGGAAAATGAAAGCTTTTACTAAAGTTTTCCCCTTTTCTAAAGCTTTTTTGGAGACAGAGTCTTGCTCTGCCCCCCTGGCTAGATTCATTGCAACCTCCGCCTCCTAGGTTCAAGCAATTCTCCTGTCTCAGCCTTCTGAGTAGCTGGGATTACAGGCGCATGCCACCATGCCTGGCTAATTTTCCTTTTTTTTTTGAGACAGAGTTTCACTCTTGTTAGGCTAGAGTGCAATGGCAAAATCTCAGCTCACCGCAATCTCCACCTCCTGGGTTCGAGCGATAGTCCTGCCTCAGCCTCCCAAGCAGCTGGGATTATAGGCATGTGTCACCATGCTCAGCTAACTTTTATATTTTTAGTAGAGACAGGGTTTCTCCATGTTGATCAGGCTGGTCTTGAACTCCTGACCTCAGGTGATCCGCCCACCTAGGCCTTCCAAAGTGCTGGGATTACAGGCATGAGCCACCACGTCCAGCCTAGTATTTTCCTCTTAAAATCAAGCATCCTAGCCAGTCGTTGTGGCTCACACTTGTAACCCCAGCACTTTGGGAGACTGAGGTGGGCGGATCACCAGGTCAGGGGTTCAAGACCAGCCTGATCAACACGATGAAACTCTCTCTCTACTTAAAAATACAAATATTAGCTGGGTGTGGTAGCACATACCTGGACCCCAGCTACTCAGGAGGCTGAGGCAGGAGAATTGCTTGAACCTGGGAGGTGGAGGTTACGGTGAGCTGAGATTGAGCCATTGCACTCCAGCCTGGGCGATAGAGTGAGACTCTGTTTCAAAAATAAATAAATAAATAAAAATAAAAAACAAAAAAACCCGGCCGGGCATGGTGGCTCACGCCTATAATCCCAGCACTTTGGGAGGCTGAGGCGGGTGGATCACGAGGTCAAGAGATTGAGACAATCCTGGTCAATAAGGTGACACCCCGTCTCTACTAAAAATACAAAAATTAGCTGGGCATGGTGGTGCGCGCCTGTAGTCCCAGCTACTCGGGAGGCTGAGGCAGAATTGCTTGAACCCAGAAGGCGGAGGTTGCAGTGAGCCGAGATCGCACCATTGCACTCCAGTCTGGGTAACAAGAGCGAAACTCCGTCTCAAAAAAAAAAAAAACAAAAACAAAAACAAGCATCCCTCTATGTTTAATTTGGGCAGTTTAACTTTATTAGAAATTAAAGCTAGGCCGGGCGTAGTTACTCACGCCTGTAATACAACCACTTTGGAGGCCAAGGCGGGCAGATCACCTGAGGTCGGGAGTTCAAGACCAGCCTGACCAACATGGTGAAACCCCGTCTTTAAAAAAAAAAAAAAGAAATTAAAGCTAAGAAAATACCCTGAACCTATAAACATTCATCTCCTTTGAATATAGAAAAACCCAACCCCACTACTCTTAGAAAAGAAAACTGTCCATCGCTATCTTGGCTGAACAATATTTGTTGAGTTAGCCGCTACCTGGAAGAGCCAGGTAGGTTTCCCACAATGATAAAAAAACTGATATTTATATTACTCAAAGAAGAAATGAAAGCAATCATTAGCATATGTAAATTCGTAAAAATTCTCAACATTACCAGATTTTTTTTTTTTTTGAGACAGGTTCTCATTCTGTCATCCAGGCTAGAGTACAGTGGTATGATCTCAGCTCACTGCAACCTCCATCTCCCCAGGCTCAAGCAATTCTCTCACCTCAATCTCCCGAATAGCTGGGACTATAGGCACGTACCACCATAACTGGCTAATATTCTTTTGTACTTTTTGTAGAGATGAGATTTCACCATGTTGCTCGAACTCCTGGACTCAAGAGATCCACCTGCCTTGGCCTTCCAAAGTGCTAGGATTACAGGCATGAGCCACTGTGCCCAGCAACACAATTCTTTTTTTTTGAGACAGAGTGTTGCTCTGTTGCACAGGCTGGAGTGCGGTGGCATGGTCTCGGTTCACTGCAACCTCCGCCTCCCAGGTTCAAGTGATTCTCCTGCCTCAGCCTCCCAAGTAGGTGGGTCTACTGGTGTGCAGGACTACACCTGGCTAATTTTATATTTTTAGCAGTAGTGGGATTTTGCCATGTTGGCTAGGCTGGTGTTGAACTTCTGGCCTCAACTGATCTGCCAGCTTTAACCTCCCAAAATGCTGGGATTACAGGCGTGAACCACAACACCCAGCCTACAAAATTCTTTTTTAACAGTCTAAGTATTTTTATTTCCAGTGTGTTTTTCAGAAATATAAGTAAAATAGTGTAATTCAGGGTGTATAAGGAAGCTTGTAATATAATAATACATGAGGCTGGGTGCGGTGGCTCATGCCTGTAATCCCAGCACACTGGGAGGTTGAGGCGGGTGGATCATCTGACGTCAGGAGCTTGAGACCAGTCTGGCTAACTTGGCGAAACCCCATCTCTACTAAGAACACAAAAATCAGCTGGGCGTGGCGGTGCATGCCTGTAATCTCATCTACTCGGGAGGCTAAGACACGAGAATTGCTTGAACCCAGGAGGGGAAAATTGCAGTGAGCCAAGATTGCACCACAGCACTCCATCCTGGGTGACAGGGTGAGACTATCTCAAACAAAACAAAACATGAATATACCCTTTTTACAGAAAAAAGCATAATGAATACAACAACTAGCATCAAAGTCCGTGTATATAAGAATGGCTAAGTGACCATTAGTCATGTGAAAAGCTTAACAACTATTAAGCTCTTATTTTCTTACTAAAAAATGAGTCCTTTCAAGGCTATAGTTATGCTTTACACAAGGGGCCCTATTACTAATTCTTAAAATTTCTTCCTACTTAAAATTTCTTTAGACATTTTCAAAGGTTAGTAAAGGAAGAGGTCAGATATGCTTACTTAAATCCTTGCTGGTTCCATGCCTGGCCATACATTCCATATGCAGGAACTTGCCAGCCATTAGGCATATACTGGCCAATTTGCTGTGCATTTCCATACCACTGGCCCCACTGGCCATAAGGTTGTGGATATCCAATTTGACTCTGCTATTAAGTAAAATTTAGTATTATTTAAAGTTAACTGTATATATACAATCCTAATATGTTAATACCACAAATTCTTTGCCAAAACACACAGGGCCATCCTTATAATTAAAATAACAGGATAAACAAGAGTTGACTGCTAAAAAAAAATTAAAAAGTGAGGTTAGACTGTTGTAACTCTACGTGATACTCTGAATGGCATAAATTTTGGAAGGCATCAGTTGATACCCTAGCAATAAATATTAGACTTAGTAGAATGTTTAAGTGTTTGGCATACTATCCATATAATTGTTTCCTTTAGATAGAGAAGATGTGATTACTTATTTCTATATTCAGCTTACTTAAGAAACTTAAATAGTTTAGGATTTGCTTACTTCTATCTCTGTGCTCCATTTACAATTTCCTCATAGAAATCTTTGTGGAATCAAGTTTGAATTACTAAAGCTGCCTGGAAAAAAAAATAAGGCAGCAAAATCTGCAAGAAAAATGCCAAGGCCATAACTATATTTACAGCTTTATTTTCGTTTCAGTTGAGTCAAGCATGCTTGTGAGTTCTCCAAATAGTGTGTGAATAAATTACTAAGTATTAAAAAAAGATTTAATACCCTTTTAGGTTTCTCGGAGCATTTTAAAATCCACTGTGTGAGCATGAGTCAACTGAGGCGGTCACATTCATGTCACTACTGCAATCCATGAAACACCATTCTGGAACTATAATACATGTAGGAACAGCCCTTATGTACTATCATTTTAGCTAGAAATTTATTAATAAGGATTATCAACAATCTTCACTTTAAAATAATATTATTAGTCCAACAATTATTTCTCAAAGTTAAGAACCCTCTCACCTGTTGCACGGGATTTATCATATCAAGAGTTTCTTTGCCCCAATAGCATTTCACAACATGACCTTCAATGGTAGTACCATTAACAGAAACAATTGCATGTGCTGCACTTTCATGGGAATTGAACCTATTGAAAACAATATTAAGAATCACCAATACAAATTCTTTTAAATATTAAGGAATAAAACCTATTTTTAAAAATCAGGGTAAGTCTGAGGTAAAACAGTTTGCATAAAAGAATCAATAATATGGCACATTTTCTTTGCTATTTTTTTTTTTCAAAAATCTTGTAGTTTTGGGAAAACTTGTGTTAACAGAGAATGTGTATTTGCTGGCCTTGTGTTAGAAGGAGGGAGCAATTAAATCACAGAGATGGCCGGGTGCAGTGGCTCATGCCTGTAATCCCAACACTTTGAGAGGTGGGCTGTTCATGAGGTCAAGAGATCGAGACCATCCTGACCAACATGGTGAAACCTGTCTCTACTAAAAATACAAAGATTAGTTGGGCATGGTGGTGTGCGTCTGTAATCCCAGCTACTCAAGAGGCTGAAGCAGGAAAATTGCTTGAACCCAGGAGGTAGAGGTAGCAGTGAGCTGAGATTAGGCCACTGCACTCCAAGCTGGGCGACAGAGCAAGACTCTGTTTAAAAAAAAAAAAAAATTACAGTGGCAAACACGTTAGATGCTAGAGAAACTGCATTTTCTTTCTGAGACGGAGTCTGACTCTGTTACCCACGCTGGAGTACAGTGATTGTGATCTTGGCTCACTGCAACAACCTCCACCTCCTGGGTTCAAGTGACTCCTGCCTCAGCCTCCTGAGTAACTGGGATTACAAGCATGTGCCGCCACACCTAGCAAATTTTTGTTTTAGTAGAGATGGGTGGTTTCACTATGTTGGCCAGGCTGGTCTGAAACTCATGACCTCAGGTGATCCACCCGCCTTGGCCTAACAAAGTACTGGGAATACAGGTGTGATTCACTGCATCCGGCCAAAATTTCGATTTCTTTATAACCAAGGTAAATTTTTAAGAAAACAATGTAAGTGTTTAAAAAAATATTTTGGAGGATTAAGTTTTTTATTTTTATTTCTTTTCTGATTTTCCAGTTATATTAGCAAGGAAAAAGTATTTTTTAAAAAAATCATCCTTACCGAACAAATGAATACCCTTTATCTGGAAAGACTCGAATTTCCATTATTTGTCCAAATGGTGAAAAAGTCTGACGCATTAGTTGTTCTGTTAGACAAAAAACAAAAACAAATCACACTAAGTTACAAATAAAGCCCACAAATATTAAGCTTTGCACTTTAAATATTAATGCCACACAGGGAAAGCTCCCATACCTGTTAGCCCGGAAGTAACACCTCCACAGTATACAGTACAGTTGCTTGGACTAGACTGATTTACAACCTCATCATATGATAGCTGTTTGGTATTTGCTGGTGAGAGAAAAGGTTTATGTCTTTAATTCATTAAAATGTGCAGAAAGGGAAAAGCAGCATTCACTACACTACTGTAAAGGTAACATTAACATTAACCAAAATGCTCATATCATATATATTATACTTCAGTCCAGGATTAAACCTCCCCAACAAATGTCTAAAAAATTACCCAGTATTTTCTACTTAATAGGAGACTTGAAATTAGAAATAATATTATTTATAATTACAAAAATGAAAACTAAGTACATTTTTGAACAGTAGTCTTGATTTGCTTCTCATCTATTTCTGCAATAAGTCTCCGGGAACAGCTCTAACATTTAAAATCTATTGTATTTTTCTCCAAAATTCCACATTTCCTTTTCTTCTCCAATACACCTACACTCATATGTACTCTTTGGAGCGGGAGGCTTTCGGGTTGCCCAGTTAGTTCTGATTTGTCTTCCACCAAGCCACTGGCCACCCATCTGTTGAATGGCGTTTTCAGCATCCTGTTCCGCACAACATTAGAAACAATAAAGAAGTCACTATTAGTTGATGTTAAACAACTTTAAGCAGTAGAGAAAACTTGGTGCTTTTCACAAACGTTTTAAGTGAAAATGCCTTGCGAGGCGGGGTGCGGTGGTTCATGCCTGTAATCCCAGCAATTTGGACACTTACATTGCTTCCTTAAATTCTTTGGCCAAGGTGGACAGATCACGCGGTCAGAAGATCGAGACCATCCTGGCCATGGTGAAACCCCATCTTTACTAAAATAAAAAAAATTAGCTGGGTGTGGTGGGGCACGCCTGTAGTCCCAGCTACTCAGGAAGCTGAGGCAGGGGAATCATTTGAACCCGGGAAATGGAGGTTGCAGTGAGCCTACATTGTGCCACTGTACTCCAGCCTAGCGACAGAGCAAGACTCCATCTCAAAAAAAAAAAAAAAGAAAGAAAATGCTTTACAAAAAATATGATCACTTTCCTAAAATGCAATGGTGCTTTTAATTTTTAAATTTATTTTATTTTATTTATTTATTTTTTGAGACAGAGTCTTGCTGTGTCGCCCAGGCTGGAGTGCAATGGTGTGATCTTGGCTCACTGCAACCTCGGCCAACCAGGTTCGAGCGATTCTCCTGACTCAGTCTCCCGAAGACGTGGGATTACAGGCACCCACCACCATACCTGGCTAATTTTTGTTGGCCAGGCTTCTTGAACTTCTGACCTCAAGTGATCTATCCACCTCAGCCTCCCAAAATGCTAGGACTGTAGGTGTGAGCCATTGTGCCCAGCCCAATGGTGCTTTTTAATTATTTTTCTTTTATTTGAATATTAAACTTTGAGAATATTAATCATGTGAAAAAGTCCTGAGCCCAAAAAGCCCTAACGAGTTATATATCATAAAGTTCATACAACTCAGACTAGTATAGAAGAAAATCTTAAACAAATAAGCCTGTTAACAACAATATTTGGTTTCTCATTCATCCAACAAATAAATATTGTAGTTATGTTCCAGGCACGAGGTTAAGAGCTAGGGATACACTGCTAAACAAGCATACATGGTCTCTTACATTCTTTTGTAGGGAACAAATAAACCAATTACAAATTGTAATAAGAGCTATGACAGAAACAAAAGGCTGAGATAGAGAATGTGGGCACAAGAATATACTACAGACTGGATGAATAAAGAAGGTCTTTTTGAAATAACTTTTAAACTGAGCCTGAAAGCAGCAGGAGCTGGCCAAGTTTAAACAATGGGGAAGAAAGCCTCAGTGGAGAGAAAGGTATTCCAAAGTGTGTTAAAGCAGGGAAGAGTTTGGCATGCATCTAAAAGAAGCATGTGAGAGAAAACTAGGTTCAATGGAACCTAGTGAGCAAAAAAGAATGTCAGAGAATGAAATCGAAAGAGTCTAAGCAAGGAATTGTCATGACCTATGTTTTAAGAAGGCCATTCTTAGTGCTAAGAGAATGGCTTAGGGTAATGGGTAGTAAGGGGATAAAGATACTTTAAAAAGTTTGAAGACATATAAATGAAGACCATTTGTTAATAAGTGTGGAACAGAGAAACAGACTGAAGATACAAAATTCATGCAGACTAGAGAAAGGGCCCACGACAGAGCCCTGAAAAACAGCAAAAATTGAAACACGGGTAAAGGAATAATCACTAGTAAGGTGACTAAGAAGGAGCAGCCAGTGATGAAGGAAGAAACCCACAAGAGTACGGTCAAGGGGGCCAAGAAAAGAGGTTAAGAGGTGACCTTGAAAACAGAGTAGCGTTGGTAGAAAGTGAGAGTAAAAATCAGCTTAGAGTAGACTCAAAAGTAAATCGGGTGTAACTTTTGTGCACGCACATGAAAGATAAGCTTAACCTAGTTTTGAAGGGACAGGCAAATTCAAGGCCTTTCTTGAGATATGATAAGGAAATACTTTAAAAAAATTGAATAGGGGTGTCATCTGTCATCCAGGTGTGATCATAGCTTACTGCACCCTTGAACTCCTGGGCTCAAGTGATACTCCCACTTCAGCCTCCTGGTAGCTAGGCCTATAAGCAAGCACCAATACGCCTGGCTATTTTTTTTATTTATTTTTATTTTTATTTTTACTGTGGTAGGAATGGCCTTAACTGGTTGCAACAGACAAAGGGAGGAGATTTGGTGTCCACAGACTAGGTCACCAGGCTTTTTTTTTTTTTAATGGAGACAGGGTCTCCATTATGTTGCCCAGGCTAGTCTCTAACTCCTGGACTCAAGCAATCCTCCTGCCTTGGCCTCCCAAAGTTCTGTTATTACAGGCATGAGCTACTGTGCCTGGCAGGAAACACACATTACACATTCTTTTTTTCTGAGATGGAGTCTCACACTGCTGCCCAGGCAGGAGTGCAATGGCATGATCTTGGCTCACTGCAACCTCCGCCTCCTGGGTTCAAGTGATTCTCCTGTCTCAGCCTCCCAAGTAGTTGGGATTACAGGCATTCACTATCATGCCTGGCTAATCTTTTGTATTTTTAGTAGAGATGAGGTTTCACCATGTTGGCCAGGTTGGTTTCAAACTCCCGACTTCAAGTGATCCATCTACCTTGGCCTCCAAAAGTGCTAGGATTACAGGCGTGAGCCACTGAGCCTGGCCAGAAATGTACACTTAAAAAGAAGCAAATATTATCAACACTAACTAGTCAGAACTCCATGAGATGCTTAACTAATGTTATATGTTGAATTGATAAGTCCTACACCCTGGTATCTGTGAATGTGGCCTTGTTTGGAAACAGGGTCTTTGCAGAAGTAATTAAGATGAAAGTTATATTGGATTAAGGTGGGTCCCAAATCCAATGACTCAAGTCCTTGTAAGAGGTAAAGATTAGACTGGGCACGGTGGCTCACACCTATAATTCCAGCACTTTGGGAGGCTGAGGCAGGTGGATCACTTGAGACCAGGAGTTCAAGAACAGCCTGGCCAACATGGCAAAACCCTGTCTCTACAAAAAATATGAAAATTAGTTAGGCATAGTGGTGCACACCTGTAGTATCATCTACTTGGGAGGCTGAGAAGGGAAAATCACCTAAGCCTGGGAGGTTGAGGCTGCAGAGTGAGACCCTCTTTTTCTCTCAATAAAAAAAAAAAAAAAAAGATTATATGGCTATACAAAGAGGGAAGATGGTTAGGTGAAGATAAAGGCCGAAATTAGAGTTATACAGCCACAAGACAAGGAATGGCAAGGATTACCAGTAACCATCAGAAGCTTAGAAGCAACAAAGGACTCTTCCAGAGCCTTCAAGAGAGCACGAACATGCTGACACCTTGATTTTGAATTTCGCACCTCCAAAACTTTGAGAAAATAAATTTTTGTTCCCCTAAGCCATCTAGTTTATGATACTTTGATACAGCTCCTCAGGAAAAAAATAAAACTATTCACTCAAAAAAGTAGGAAAAAACCATATAATAAATGTCTATGTTGGTGGTTATGAATGGGAAATAAAGTGAAACAACTCTTGAGAATTATAGTAGAGAAATGGGGATACAGGTAGGGAAGAGATGTAAGAATAAAGAGTGGTTTTGAGGTCAGGCGTGATGGCTCACACTTGTAATCCCAGCACTTTGAGAGGCCAAGGTGGGCGGATCACCTGAGGTCGGGAGTTCTAGAATAGCCTGACCAACATGGACAGACTCTATCTCTACTAAAAATACAAAAAATTAGCTGGGTATGGTGGCATATCCCTGTAATCCCAGCTACTTGGGAGGCTGAGGCAAGAGAATTGCTTGAACCTGGGAGCAGAGATTGCAGTGAGCTGAGATCGTGTCATTGCACTCCAGCCTTGGCAACAAGAGCGAGACTTCATTTCAAAAAAAAGAGTGGTTTTGATTGGGGTACTAGATAGCCAGGGACGATGGCTTGTGCCTATAACCCCAGCACTTTGGTAGGCCGAGGCCGCAGGGACTGGTGGAAGCCAGGAATTCGAGACCAGCCTGGGCAACAAACTGAGATTGTTCCCACAAAAAAAAAATTTTTTTGTTTTGTTTTCTGCCTCTCAGGATCAAGGGATTCTCCTGCTTCATCCTCCTGAGTAGCTGGGATTACAGGTGTGCACCACCATGCCTGGCTAATTTTTGTTTTTTTGGTACAGACAAGGTTTTACCATGTTGGTCAGGCTGGTCTCAAACTCCTGACCCTGTGATCCACCTGCCTCAGTCTCCCGAAGTGTTGGGATTATCAGTGTAAGCACTGCAACTGGCCTTTTTTTTTTTTTTTTTTTTAAATAAATTATGTGGGCATGGTGGCATACACCTGTAGTCCCAGCTACTCTGGAGGCTGAGGCAGGAGGATGGCTTGAGCCCAGGAGTTCTGAGGCTTTGGTGAGCTGTGATCACACCTCTGCACCCCAGCCTGAGTGAGACGCTGTCTCAAAAAAAAAAAAAAAAAAAAAATCTATTACTGCTCGGGTTCAACAAAATTCATAAAATAATAATAATAAAAACAGAAATACCAGGTGTTTTTTGGTTGATGAGAATCATCCAGTGGAGAAAGAATAGCATGATGACACAGGATAATAAAAAAACCAGTATATATTATATGATTCCATTTATAGAAAATATTGAGTACAGGGAAATCTATAGTCAGTAGATTGACAGTTGCTCAGGGCTGGCAGGAGGGATAGTAAAGGAAAAAGATAGTGACTGCTAATGAGTCATGTAGCTTCTTTTTGGGATGGTAAAAATATTCTAAAATTGATTTTGGTGATACTTGCACAATTCTATGAATTACCTAAAAACTACTGAATTGTACACTTTATTTATTTATTTTTGAGACAGGATCTCACTCTGTCGCCCAGGCTGGAGTGCAGTGGTGCAATCTCAGCTCACTGGAACCTCAACTTCCTGGGCTCAGGTGATTTCCCCACCTTAGCCTCTCAAGTAACTGGGACTACAGGTGTGAGCCACCATGCCTGGCTAATTTTTGTATTTTTTTGTAGAGAAAGGGTTTTGCCATTTTGCCCAGGCTGCTCTCAAACTCCTGGGATCAAGTAATCTGCCTTCCTTAGTCTCCCAAAGTGCAGGGATTACAGGCCAACCACACTGTGTACTTGAATTATATCTTAATAAAGCTGCTGTTAAAACGAAGCAGTGACAGCATAGGCTCAAAGTCCTTGAAAAGACAAGAAAGGTGGGGACACAATCATAAGTGATTTGGCCTATGACAGGAAGGACCTTTCCTGTACTATAATAGGAGGAATAATGGGAAAATGAATGAATTTTATGTAAGTTTGGTGGTTGAAAGATGAAATTATCTGGACTGATGGGGGCTGAAAATAAAAATTAAAAAAAAAAAGAAAGATGAGAAAATTCTTGTATGATAGTCTCTTTTTTTATCAGAGAAGCATGCGATAAGGGTGTTAGCTTAGGGTAATGATGGAGGAAGAAGGGAGGATATCTGAAGAGATGGAGCAGTGAGGAATAAAATAGTCATCACGAAGAATGGGAAATCAAATGTATTAGAGAAACACATGATTGCCTAGATAGTACTCTGTACTCATCTACAATGTGTGACTATTAAATTAGAAGCAAAACCACTTGAACTCAGTTTTTTTCCAACAACATTCAGTTATTTTTGGGTAGGCAGAGAAGCTAAGTTCAATCAGAATTGTGGTTTTCCTAGGATGCAGAACACAGGAAGAGAGGCTGGTGGGTAATTACAATCAAGGTGGTAGCATGGCATAACAGAGCCAAGCACATATCACAAATTTTACAGAAGTTGAAATTTATAGATTATATTATTTACTCAAAGTTACAACTGTTTCATAATGGTTGTCAGAATTTGCATATATCTCAGCTAACTCCAGAGGCTGGGCATAGGTATCAATAGACAACCTTTGCTATTTGACTCCAGTTCATACTAAATACAGATTCAATAGTGATTTTTATATAGCACAACCCTATAGCCCATAATTTCAAAAATGTGAAAAATTAGATCCTAGCCCACCAAACCCCCAACTTATTTCCCTAAGGTGCAGTAAAACATTCTAAAAACCTATGAGGACCTCAAATAAGGAACTCAAATTAATCATGACTATCAATCCGCTGTACAAGGTATTTTTCGACCTTTCTAAAATACTATATACTGTGATTAATAGTAAAGTTTTCAGAAGCAACTAAACTGTTATAATTTTTATTTTCTCATCTCACAGGAAAAGAATAATCTTTTAATTGGTAGATAGGACATGTACATGATTGAGCTTGTATTTCTTTTTTTTAAATTGCATTTTAGGTTTTGGGGTACATGTGAAGAACATGCAAGGTAGTTGCATAAGTACACATGTGACAGTGTGATTTGTTGAGCGTGTATATCATTTTCAACTTTTTTTTTTTTTTTCTTAAGACAGGGTCTCACTTTTTCACCCAGGCTGGAGTGCAGCGGTTTGATCACGGCTCACTGCAGCTTTGACCTCCTGGGTTTAAGTGATCCTCTGACCTCAGGCCCATAAGTAGCTGGGGCTACAGGCATGCGTCACCAAGCTTGACTAATTTTTTGTAGAGATGGAGTTTTGCCATAAAGTCTAGGCTGGTTTTGAACTCCTGACCTCAAGTAATCCACCCACTTTGGCCTCCCAATGTGCTGGGATTACAGGATTACAGGTGTGAGCCACTGGGCACAGCCGAATTTTTTGAATTTCCGGAAAAAATAAATAAATAAATAAATAAATAAAAATAAACATATATTTTGTAGACACAGGGTCTCACTATATTGGCAGGGCTTATCTCAAACTTCTCCGCCTCCCAAAGTGCTGAGATTCCAGGCATAAACCACTGTGCCCGGCTAATATTTAATTTTTTAAAAAGTTCCTACCCATCAAAGTATTTTAATTTTTTTTTTTTTGAGTTAGGGTCTCACTCTGTTGCCCAGGCTGTGCTGTTGCATGATTTTAACTCACTGCAAACTCTCTTCCTGGGTTCAAGCAATTCTCCTGCCTCAGCCTCCCTAGTAGCTGGGCCTATAGTCACCCCAAATTTTTGTATTTTTAGTAGAGACAGGTTTTACCATATTGGCCAGGCTGGTCTCAAACTCCTGACCTCAGGTGATCTGCCCGCCTTGGGCTCCCAGAGTGCTGGGATTACAGGCATGAGCCACTGCGCCTGGCCTCATCACAGTACTTTATTAGCTACTTTTAAATTACCATGGGAATACAAACAAGGGAGATAATGGATTAAGTCCATAAATGAGATTTTCAACATCTTCCTTTGGCTAATAATTTAAACAACTTTACTTTACTTCCTATATTCTGAAAACATCAGTACTCTGCATGAATCAGCAGGTGCTAATAAATGTTAAATAGACAAAACAGAAGAAGATATCTTCTAGTGTGGATTTATTTTAATTATCAGTAAAATAAACAGCAGATGAAAGAAAGATTAATAATTAAAACTAAGTGTTTCCATTCTTTACTGTTTAAGCATTGTACATGCACTTCTGATTGAGCTCACCCATTTGTTGAAAAAGGAGACAAAGCCATATCCCTTAGACTTTCCTGTTGCCATGTCTTTTACCACTCGGGCATCTCTGAAATCAGAAACAATCAGAAGTTTAGGTTTGCAAACTCTCCTCTAAATATAAAATGAGAATTTCACACACAACTGATTATCATGTTTCACCTTCATTAAAGTGAACCTTTAATGCAAATTCACCTTTTATTCTACAAAATTTATCATGTATAAGGAAATGAGGCTTAGTTTTATAGACATGCAAATCAGTAACTTAAGTATATATGCATATGTACATTGTACAGAAATTGCCTCTCCAAAAAACTTTTTAAACTTTTAAATATTAAGCATGGTGAAAGCAGCTACTCACATGAACTACTTAAACATTTATAAAGTTCACATGATATTAGATGAATGGCTTTCTTTAACCATGCAATTTATAATTTATTTGATATTACATTCTACCTTATAATTAAAAAAAAAAAAAGAAAACCGGAAACCAAAAGAATAAAAAAGTTGTATATTACCTAAACTAATTAAATTATTTCATTTTTTTCAGATAAATTTATACCCCCCTTTTTGACTAGAGTAAATTTTGAGAACTTGACATTTTAGAAATGTTAAATCATTGAAGAAAAATACTAGACAAACACAAGTTTTAAAGTATACAAGAAAAGATTTTACACTGAATTTTATAATAGCATTCATATAAAATTGATTGGAACTACAAGATATAAAAGCAAAATTTTAAAAAGTCAGAAAGTAAAAAAGCACGCCAACATTTATCCACTGTGAACCGTAGCTTGTAGTTAGCCAGGGCAATTCTGTCCATTCTTCAGAGACACTCTGCAAAATAACCAGAGCCCTATTATTTGAGATTGAGTAAAAACCCAGCCATGATAGCTAAAACTCCATACCTCAAAAAATTGGACTCAAATTGTGCTTCACAGGCAATCTGCTTTTAAGTTAGTCAGGTATGTCACAATGCTTGCTCTCTTAGGACACATGAACAAAACAGGCACTTTTATAACAAAAACCCAAGTCAGAAAGCCATGCAATGTAATTTTCTATTAAAGTATACATAAGCATATTTTAGATCAATTTGAGTGATTTATTAAGTGTTCAGGGTCAAAATGACAAAGACGTGGTGGTGAAAAGGGAAAACTAATGTAAGTCAATTCTCAATATGCAAAAATACTTACTAAATTATCTGTATGGTACACATGCATTTAATTTGGTAGCTGACTCTCTTCTACACTGTAATTTATTAGTCTACCCTAAACTCAAGGAACAGGAAGAGTTCATAAGCTGTATATAAGGGAAACTACCATATTTTTTTTATACTAAATGCTTTTACAGACCACTGTTTATTACACATCTATAAATCAAGCACTGATATTTGCACTTTTTAGAGACTATCAGGGGAACCCTTCAACATACAGTTATCAACTTATCTCCTTTAACAACAAAAAAATCAGGAAAATATGCTGACTGCCAAATGATTCCTTTAAATGTAGGAAAGCTAACTCCTTGTATAGCCTAAAACTCAAACATTATACATTATCTCAATTGAAAATCATAAAACTTAAAGGTCTCACCAAGAAAAAAAAAGTCTACATCAATAATCATTGGGATCATAAGAAAATCTACAAACTAAAAATATGATAGAGAAACATATTTAAGAAAAATAAATTATGACCATGATTTATAAATTATGAAACTGCTAAAATCTGAAGGTCACTTAACTTAAACTCACCAACTGTTAAACAATCTTTGCCTAATCCCAAACTAAAATTCCCAGGTTTTCAAAAAAGCTACCTCAATCAAAATCAAAGCATTTACTTAAAAAGCTACTTAATCTGTTCACAATGTCAGAAAGTTTTTTCTTCTTAAAGTTTAAGGAAATGTTAACCTTGAAAAATGTTCAACTCATATTTATTTCTCTCTGAAAACATTCTCCAGAGAAGCAGCAGCAAAGATCTAGATCAGGCTTCTTTATCTTTTTACGGTCCTGTGACTATTCTGACAATAGGATGAAATTTACAAAGATTTTCCATAGCAAAATGAAAACACAAATATTTGCATAGAGATTTAGAGCCCTTGAGAGGCCAAAGGATAAGACTGTCTTAAGTCTAGATATTTGAAAGCAAGCTAATTATCCTTGAAACTCTAAGACATTATATTAAGAGGAACAATCAGAAAAGAAAAGCTGTATTTATTTTCCTAACCAGGTCTCACAAAGAAAAATGTCATCTGAAAGAAGTCCACTGATAAGCCCTAATTCTGTGACTGCCTTTAAAGCTGGCCATTCCTTGGTCAAATGCATTGTCATCCACTAATCAACAAACTACAACTCTTCAAATGAAAACTCCCAAAATTCATCACCAATGCTACTGGTATTTATTTCCCAGTCTCCTCATCTCATCTCTGCTGATGGTCTGTTCAAACCAAACCACAGTTAGCATTGCCTTTTTAGTACTCTTCTAGGTGGAAAAATAATAGAGCAACCGGAAATCCTGAAGAAGTTTTCTAAACTAAAGAATTACTCCACAGAAAGTACCATAACAACTTGCTATTCTTACTCTAATATGGCATGCTTTTCAAAATTTTAAAGTTCTTCTATGATGAATACTGTATCAAGTAAGGTATTTATTCATAAGGGCCTAAAAGGTATGATTAATAACAAGTGCAAGCAAGGCAGTGCTTCATAAAATACTATAAGGCACTATTATTGTTAGCAGTTTTTTTAAAAGGGTGCAAATACCTAGGAAATAACATTTAATAACTGCTTTTTAGGTTAAATTGTTGAAGTTTCTTTTTGTTAAAATATATTAACACAAAATGCATGGTATCACAGACGTGCCCAATGGATCTAAATTCCTTAGTCACAGCACAGTTTTAACTAAAGATTATCACCAAGCTAGCTTGACACCTATATAAGAAACTATAAAATGTACAATGGCAAATTTGTCTCTTAAAAGCTATGCTAACTGAAAAAGGATTTTAAGGTAATTGAAAACCAAAGGTTTATTCTCATCAACGGGAAAACAATCTTTTGCTGTTAATTTCTTGAATGATCTCTAAACAATGTAATACATTATAAATTAATACAAAAAATTCATACTAAAATTATTTTCAAGTTATGCCTACATATAATTGTTTCTAATTAAAAAGATTTTATTTATCTTCTGTTACTTACGATATTCTTCCAAATGGTGCAAAAGCAGCTTTTATATCTTCAGTTGTAATTTCTGGACTGAGATCACCAACAAAGACATGGAAATGATCTTATAAGGGGAAGGAAGGGGAAGTGAAAAGAAAAATAGAACTTTAGAATTTAAAAAGTACTAAAATCTATCCAATAAAGTATTCTTAAAATGATTATGACTTATGATAAAGTATAAACAAAACACTATCCTATATCTATACAAATCCTATCAACTTTAAACAATGAGTCAAGGTAACAATATAGGAAACATTCTCCTGAAAAGACTGTGATACATCTAACTGGAAGTGACATTTATATTTCTATTTACAGTCAATTATTATACTGGTCTAAGAAAATAAACTAATAATATACAAGTTTCAGTTCTGCAAAAAATTTAATGACTTAGTTACCGTTCTAATAATAATTATTTACTTTTATTCAGTTTACCACTATATTAAGGCTTTCCAAATTAAAATAAAATAGTGGTACTGTGAATTATGTGAACTAGATTTGCCTCAGTTAACACAATTTACTGAAGCTAGCTACATGATATATACTTGGTTTAACCATATTTTGTGAAGAACAATCAAAGAAATACCTTGCATTGCAACAGTTTGATGTTAAAGTATTTGACAGTTTTCTCAAAAGCCAACAGTTTTGGTTGCCCAGACATTACACCATTCAGTTTATGTGAATCCATGTGCAAGTGAACTAAGACTGAAGGCAACAGAATGAAAACAGTAATCCCTTCACTTTATATCAGAACCATTAAAAAAGCATTGGAGAGAAATAACCATCCCATATCTGAGTTTTTAAAAAAGACAATTATCAAAAAAAGAAACACTTTAAAAATGCAAAATTGTTGGACCAACACTTTAAAATGGACACACACATAAATTTGACAAAGCATATTTGGAAAGAAAAGTTACCCATATTTGACAGGCCTTAAACAACATTTTGGATTGCTCTTTGGGAAATAAAATTTGAGGAGCAACTCAAGCATTTGGAAGATCTGGGTATGAAGCCCAGATGGTGACCTCAAGAAAGCAGGGTATCTTGCCCCTTAGTTGATGAAAGTAGTTCTAAGGCATCAGCTGCTACCAAAGGGGTCAGAAAGCTTGAACTAGCACCAAAGTAGTGGACAAGCTATACTTGGTCAACACTGAGAAGAAGTGAGAAAAATATTGCTAGAGAGACAAATAGAAATACTATCTCCTCCCACCCCCCCTCCCCCAAATATCAAACAAAAAACTTCAGGTGGTTAGTGAATACCCTTTCAAGAGATTTCATTTTATGTTTAAGAAGATACAATTACCTTGTGAACGCTGTGTGCTGACAACGGTACTACCTGATGACAAAGATTAGATTTGTTCTTAAATTTATTAACACAAACACATTCAATCATATCTTAGGATAACGATCAAAACATTACTGCAAACATGTATGATGTTTATAGGCTTTACAATAAAACTACTGAGTATAATAAAAACAAATGTTCAAAAAGCATAAAATATACTTACTGCTTGTATCTTTCTTTTGACTGCTGGGGGTTGTTGCCCAATTCACTTTGACTTCCTAAAAAAAATTTTCTACATTTACACTTCATAAAAATAAAGCCCAAAATCATATTTGCATCTATAAACACATAGGAAGTTATCTGTTTAAGATGAAACACTAAGGGAGATACCAGCTCTGGTCCAGTTTCAATACTTATCTTCTGAACCACATTTAGGCAAATAAATAATGTTGACAAATCCTAATCTTTCTGTCTGTTAACATTCAATTAACCTTTTTTACCTAGAAGTACCAACGTTACTTTTTTCCTCTGATTCTTTTCCATTAGCATCCAAACTTGGAGTAATTCAGCAAATATTTTAGTATTTACCATAATACTAACATAAGCTGGTGGCTCATGCCTGTAATATCAACACTTTGGGAGGTCAAGGCAGGCGGATCACCTGAGGTCAGGAGTTCAAGACTAGCCTGACCAACATGGTGAAAATTCCGTCTTTAAAAAAAAAAAAGAAAGAAAGAAAAAAGAAAATACTGACATAAACACAGGAATCTGCCTCTAAAAGCATTATCACATCTTTTTAATATTAAATATGAATAACTGACCTTTTTGCTCTAAAGTGTTTAAAGTTTCAGCTGGGTGTGGTGGCTCACACCTGTAATCCCAGCACTTTGGGAGGCTATAGTGGTAGGAATCACCTGAGGTTAGGAGTTCAACACCTGCTTGGATAACATGGTGAAACCCCATTTCTACTAAAAATACAAAAAATTAGCTGGGTGTAGTGGCAGGCGCCTATAATCCCAGCTACTCAGGAGGCTGAGGCAGGAGAATCACTTGAACCCAGGAGGCAGAGGTTGTGGTGAGCCGAGATCACACCATAGCACTCCAGCTTGGGCAATAAGAGTGAAACCCCGTCTCAAAATTAAAAAAAAAAAAAAGGATTTAATGTTTCTAAAAAGGAAATAAAATCATAAATTTTTTCAGTGCAAATCACCTGCTTTAATTATGACAGCTTACCTTACCCATTATCTTCCGTCCATTCATAGCAGCTAATGCTGCAGCTGCATGACGATGCTCATGAAACTCCACAAAACAATAGGGATCATTTCCAGCTGTCTGTGGAAGAAGAAACACAAAAGCCAATGTTAAGCTTTATTCTCCCATTAGCTTAAAATTATGTAAAAAAAATTTTAAACCAAGTTTTATACATCTGAATTATCAGGCCATGGAGAATGAATGGTCCATTCCACAAGTGAATTTTGGATAAAAAAAAAAGTAAACAGCCAGGCCTGGTGAAGAGCTCCTGTAGTCCTAGCTACTTAAGGAGACTTAGGTGGGAGGAACGCTTGAGCCCAGGAGTTTGAATCCAGCCTGGGCAACACAGCAAGATCTTGTCTCTAAAATAATTAAAAAGTAGAAAGAAAAAAAAAAGCAACCACTTAAAAATCACACTGCTTTATAGAAAGCTATTTTCTTCAACAAGTTATACTATACTACTATAATTTAATATTAATGACTAGGTATCCTAACTGGATATAAATATAGCTAGAATAGAGATACTATATTTATAGCTATAAATAGAGATATTTTCTCCCCATTATTGTATCAGCATTTTTTTCAAGCTATATAGATAAAGTTTGACCAGAGTCCTAGGCTGTGAAGTCTCACTTTGGCTTTTTATGATTTTCTATCCCCTCCCTGTTATATGCTACTTTTTACTGCTACAAATGTACACAGCTCCTTGCTGCTTCTAGTTTGCTGAGTAGCAGAAAATCTTAGCCAACCTTCTTAAACCTGTTTTTAAAATATAGGTAAACAGACTCTGAAAACTGAAGAGACTCTCTGCTAAGTAAAACTTTAAGTTTTAGAATATGAACTTTCTGACAACAATTTTCTGCTTGCTCAGAGCCTTTAGAAAATTATCTTCCCAGCCAGGCATGGTGGCTCACGCCTGTAATCCCAGCACTTTGGAAGCCCAAGACAGGCGGATCACCTGAGGTACATAGAAAAACCCCATCTCCACTAAAAATACAAAATTAGCCGGGTGTGGTGGCAAATGACAGTAATCCCAGCTACTCGGCAGGCTAAAGCAGGAGAATTGCTTGAACCTGGGAGGTGGAGGTTGCAGTGAGCCGAGATTGTGCCGTTGCACTCCAGCCTGGGCAACAAGAGCAAAATTCCATCTCAAAAAAAAAAAAAAAAAAAAAGAAAAAAATTAAGTATTTTTTCCCCCCCAGGAGACACAGACGCAAGGGAAATGGGGTCAGTGTTCTCTAAATGTCTTTTTATACATATTATGATTTGGGTTAACACCAATTAGATGAATGAATTCAATATGTGTGTGTGTTTTAATACATTAAGGTCTCATAAATAGGAATTGCCTAAATACAAGAAAAACTTGAATCATGACCTTTAAAAATAAAGTTAAAAACAGTTTCGCTGTATCAAATGCCTATTACTTTGAAACCTGTTTTTCAATTTAATTGTAACAGCTGAATTTATTAGCCAACCAATTGACACTGCATATTAAATAAACATTTCTGATGCCTCAATGCACCTGAAACAGTCCAGATATACATAGTTCCCATCTGATCTAGAAATGACTATTCTATTCTCATCTTCCATTATTTAGCAAAACAAATTAAATTCAGTTGTCAAAACAGGTTCATTACAAATTCACTAAATTCCCTATTAATTTAGACCATAGTAACGTAAGAATTTATACTATATTTAGACTACAGTAAACTAAGAATTCCTTCCAAGCAATGGCTTTAAGTAACGTGTTAAAAAAAAAAAAAAAAAGTTTGCTGATACCCATTACTGAAGATAGTAAAAGAAAAAAAAAAAAAAAGAATAAAGTTAACTAAGTAAAATACCCTTACATCCATAATCATTTTGCAGTTTTTACAAGGTCCAATCTGGCTAAAGAGTTGCAGAATTAAAGCTTCTGTCACATCCCTGGAAAGGTTACCGACGTATCTGAAACACAAAGAAAATCAATTTACCTTTTTTTTTTTGAGATGGAGTTTCACTCTTGTTGCCCAGGCTGGAGTGCAATGGTGCAATCTTGACTCACTGCAACCTCCACCTCCTGGGTTCAAGTGATTTTCCTGCCTCAGCCTTCCGAGTAGCTGGTATTAACGACATGTGTCACCATGCGGCTAATTTTTTGTTTTTAGAAGAGACGGGTCTCTCCATATTGGTCAGTCTGGTCTTAAACTCCTGACCTCAGGTGATCCACCCACCTCAGCCTCCCAAAGTGCTCGGATTATGGGCGTGAGCCACTGCGCCCAGCCTCCTCCTTTTTTTTTGAGACGGAGTCTCACTGTTGCTCAGGGTAGAGCACTATGGCGTGATGTCGGTTTACTACAATCTCCGCCTCCCGGGTTCAAGAGATTCTCCTGCCTCAGCCTCCAGAACAGCTGGGATTACAGGCACCCACCACCACGCCACGCCTGGCTAAGTTTTGTTTGTGTGTGTGTGTGTGTGTGTGTGTGTTTCTTCTTAGTTCAACTTGAAATTTTTGTATTTTTAGTAGAGACGGGGTTTTACCATCTTGGCAAAGCTGGTCTGGAACTCCTGTACTTGTGATCCACCCGCCTCAGCCTCCCAAAATGCTGGAATTACAGGTGTGAGCCACCGCACCTGTTCTTCTTCTTCTTTTTTTTTTCCTTTTAAGAGAAACAGTCTGGCTATATTGCTCAGGCTGCTCTCAAATTCCTGGCTTCAAGTAAACCTCCTAAGTAACAGACTACAGGAATCACCACACCTAGCTCAATTTACTTTTTTTTGAGACAGTCTGGCTGGGTTGCTGAGACTGGAGTGTAGTGTCGCAATCTCGGCTCACTACAACCTTTGCCTCCTGGGCACAAGGGATTCTTCCACCTCAGTTGCCCAAGTAGCTGGGATCACAAATGTGTGCCACCACATCTGGCTAATTTTTTTTTTACTTTCTGTAGAGAATGGGTTTCATCATGTTGCTGAGCTCGTCTCTAACTCCTGGGCTCAAGCGATCTGTCCACCTCGGCCTCCCAAAGTGTTAATGTTAAAGATTACAGGCATGAGCCATTGTGCCCAGCCCTAGATTTACCATTTTAAATTTGCTTATTCTGCACCAGTTTCTGTAACTGTTTATTAAAAATTAAATTTGAAAAACAGGCAGATCTTTGCCTTAAAGTATATATTTGGGAATAACTTTAACAAGTTTGCCAAAACTTAAAAATCTGTTTGAAACAGATATAAAATATGTTATTTGAAAATATATTAGCTGGGCACAGTGGCTAATGTCTGTAATCCCAGCACTTTGGGAAGTCAAAGCAGGCAGGTCACCTGAAGCCAGGAGTACGAGACCAGCCTGGCAAACATGGCAAAACCCGTCTCTACTAAAAACACAAAAATTAGCCAGGTGTGGTGGTGCATATCTGTAATCCCAACTACTAGAGAGGCTGAGGCAGAAGAATCATTTGAACCCAGGAGGCAGAGGCTGAGTGAGCTAAGGTCATGCCACTGCACTCTAGCCTGGGCAACAGAGCAAGACTATGTCTCAAGAAAGAAAAAAAGAAAATATATTATACCCTGTTAGTGAAGGGGAAGATAGTATGTGCAAGTCTGTTTTAGTTGTGGTTTTGCAAATTAAACCTATTGCTTTTTGTTTTCTTTAACAACCCTGCAGAAAAACTATTGCTTGTTTTTAAGTTTCCAGGCTTATCTTAGGAAGATAAGCTTTAAAAAACACTCGAATAAATCATCACTAGTTATATAAAATATTTTATACAATAATGGACAGATGTGGTGGCTCATGCCTGTAATCTCAGCACTTTGGGAGACTAGGGTGAGTGGATCACTTGAGGCCAGAAATTTGAGACCAGCCTGGCCAACATGATAAAACCCCATCTCTCGGCTGGGCGCAGAGGCTCACGCCTATAATCCCAGCTCTTTGGGAGGCTGAGGTGGGTGGATTACAAGGTCAAGAGATCGAGACCATCCTGGTCAACGAGGTGAAACCCCGTCTCTACTAAAAATACAAAAATTAGCTGGGCATGGTGGTGCGTGCTTGTAGTCCCAGCTACTCGGGAGGCTGAGGCAGGAGAATTGCTTGAACCCAGGAGGCGGAAGTTGTGGTGAGCCAAGATCCTGCCATTGCACTCCAGTCTGGGTAACAACAGCGAAACTCCATCTTAAAAAATAAAAAAAAAATAAAATAAAATAAAACCCCATCTCTACTAAAAACAAAAATTAGCTGGGCGTGGTGGCAGCTGGCTGTAATCCCAGCTACTGGGAGGGGGGTGGGGTGGCTGAGGCATGAGAATTGCTTGAACCCAGGAGGCAGAGATTGCAATGAGCCCAGACAGTGCCACTGCTCTCCAGCCTGGGTGACAGAGCAAGACTACCTTAAAAAAAAAAAAAAAAAAAAAAATTATACAATCAAACCTAAGAACCATTGCCATTATTTCTACTTCACACATTTTTGAAAAGTTATAGGTAAATTACTTATTAGTTGTTTTGGATGTTAACAATGGGATGGGATCCCTTCCATTTAACATTACTGATTGGTGGAAGAGGTATGAAAGATCACAGGTTATGAGTTGGTAATCAATACAAATATAAATGGTGCATTACAAGACCATAAGACTGCGATGAACCTCATTTAAAGGGTTTAGACTGGGGGCAATGGCTCACTTCTGCAGTCCCTGCACTTTTGGAGGCTGAGGTGGGAAGGAGATTAGGCCAGGAGTTCAAGACCAGTTAATACAGTGAGATCTCCATCTCTACCAAAAAAAAAAAAAAAAATTAGCCGGACATAGTGGCACTATGTCCCATGGCATGGTCCCAGCTACTTTGGATACTGAGGTGGGAAGATCACTTCAACCCAGGAGTTAGAGGCTGCACTGAGCTATGATTATGCCACTACACTACAACCCAGGTGACAGAGCAAGACTCTGTCTCTAAAAAGAAAAGGGTTTATAAATAAGTTTTTTAAATGAGATTTTTGAGATGAGATTACCTCTAGTCATATAAGAGAGTTAAGAGGTTTATCAGTTCTGAAATCAGAGAATGTAGTCTCTCCATAATGGGAGAGTTTCTCATTTGTCTCTCAGGTACCCTTCAGAAAATTTGATACACGGTATGGACTTTCTCCTCAGAAAAATAAACATTCATATAGCTCACAAAGTGTGGATTCAATTTCTTCTTTCCATCTACCATTCAACAAACACACAGAGTGCTTAACATGAAGCCTTCGGAGAAGGTTAAGATGGCAAAGGAAGAAATGCTGAGTCTTAATAACAAATGACATTTAAAGATCAGGTAAAATGGCTGGGCACGGTAGCTCATGCTGGGCCAGCACTTTGGGAAGTCAAGGTAGATGGATCACTTAAGGTCAGGAGTTCAAGACCAGCCTGACCAAAATGGCAAAACCCCATCTCTACTAAAAATACAAAAATTGACCAGGCATTGTGGCATGCAACTATATTCCCAGCTACTCGGGACTATAGTTGGAGTATCGAAGCAATTCTAAGACAGGAGAATTGCTTGAATCTAGGAGGTGGAGGCTACAGTGAGCCAGGATCATGAATGGTACCCGAAAGAGAAAGTAACAGCAACATTTAACCAACAGCAATTTACCAGTACTGGGAATTATCACTACACCAAGTTTTTATTCTGAAAAAGAGACAGAATTACGTATTAATCCCATCTATTAAGTAGGAACTCCTGAATAGTGTAATCTAATAGCTTTGGTTAAGGAAAAGTTCTCCTTTACAGAAGACTGCTAGGTAATAAATGTAGAAAGAGGCCAGGCGCAGTGGCTCACGCCTGTAATCCCAGCACTTTGTGAGGCTGAGGCAGGCGGATCATGAGGTCAAGAGATCGAGACCATCCTGACCAACATGGTGAAACCCCACTCTACTAAAAATACAAAAAATAGCTGGGTGTGGTGGCACGCGCCTGTGATCCCAGCTACTCGGGAGGCTAGGAGGAAGAACTGCTTGAACCTGGGAGGTGGAGGTTGCAGTGAGCCGAGATTGCGCCACTGCACTCCAGTCTGGCGACAGAGCAAGACTCTGTCTCAAAAAAAAGAAATAACTGATTCAGGCAAATCTTTAGGCTTAAAGTACGAGGTGAAAAGTTGATGTGGAAATAGTCACAAGGTATCAAAGTTATCACATAGATTACTTAATTAGTTGCAAAGGGAAAGCCTTACCTTAAAAATGAGAGCTTCAGCTATTACCACTATGACCCAGGGATCAAATTTTAAATTATGTTATAGTTGGGTAACGACCAATGAGACACTGTTTCTATAAAATATGAATCACACAGTATCACCTGTGAAATATTTACATAAAGAAGTCTAACCAGGTGAGGCACGGTTACTCATGCCTCTAATCCCAGGACTTTGGGAGGCCAAGGCAGGTGGATCACAAGGTCAGGAGTTTGAGACTAGCCTGATGAACATGGTGAAACCCTGTCTCTACAAAAAATTAGCTGGGTGTGGGATTACACAGCATGTAATCCCAGCTACTCTGGAGGCTGAGGTAGGAGAATCGCTTGAACCAGGGAGGCAGAGGTTGTGGTGAGATGAGACTACATCATTGCACTCCAGCCTAGGCAACAAGAGCAAAACTCCATCTCAAAAGAAAGAAAAAGTCAGCCGGGCGCGGTGGCTTATGCCTGTAATCCCAGTACTTTGGGAGGCTGAGGCGGGTGGATTGCCTGAGCTCAGGAGTTCGAGACCAGCCTGGGCAACATGGTGAAACCTACAAAATATTAGCCGGGTGTGGCAGCGTGCGCCTGTACTCCCAGCTACTCAGGAGGCTGAGGCAGGAAAACTGCAAGAACCCAGGAGGCAGAGGTTACAATGAGCTGAGATCGCACCACTGCACTCCAACTGGGTGACAGAGCTAGCCTCCATCGAAAGAAAGAAAGAAAGAAAGAAAGGAAAGAAAGAAAGGAAAGAAAGAAAAAGTCTAACCTAAATCTAA